TTCCTGCTCCTCTGATGCTGCTTGGCCTGCTGTGTTCATCCAGCTCTACACCTTGTTATCTCAGATTCTCCAGCATCTGCAGTTCCTGCTATCTCTGACCCTGGGTAAACTCTGTGTGTGATCTGGTTATTTCTTTAGGTGTTCAGTCTGACGTGCTACAGGAGGCTTATGTGCCCATTATTACCAATACTCGCTGCAACAGCCCTGAATATTACCACAACCAGATCACCCCAAGCATGTTCTGTGCCGGTTACAATGAAGGGGGTATTGATGCTTGTCAGGTCAGTAATCTGTGCAATTTGTGTGTAGCTGGTCGTTAAGGCCAATGATTCGCGTTTAAAAATCGAAACAACTCCCCTCCCAGGAACAACACTCCTCAACATCAGGACCTACCCAGACTGCAAAACCCAAAAGTTCCCCCACCCCCACCTCCCCAAAGTGTTGAAATGTGGCACCCAATCTGCACACAGGAAGCTCCCACACACTCTGCAACGTGAGAGCGACACGGGGTAGTCTGTATCCTTTTTCTCGCGGTCGCCTCAGTTGAGGGAAAGATATTGTCCTGAGGAGAACCTCCCTCCCCGCGCTCGCCCACAGCTTCTTCCAAATTGGGAATGTGGGTTTGCTGCAGACACCACACTGCCCACCAACCTCCCCCACCTCTCAAAGAGGCAAAGGAGGGTCTATGTTTACAAGTGGAAGACTGACCCCCACCCCCACCCCCACCTCCTCCCCCGACCAGTGCGGCGCTCCCTCGGCGCTGACCCTCCGACAGTGCGGCGCTCCCTCGGCGCTGACCCTCCGACAGTGCGGCACTCCCTCGTACATTTTCACGATTAATTTGACTCTCGAGCAACGGGGTGTGTTAAAGTGGAAACACTATAAGCATGTTGTCAGAAAGCATCCCTCAAGGTGATGACCTTGTTTTTTCTCTCTCTCTGTCTCTGGCTCTGTCTGTGTGTGTCTCTCTCTCTCTGTCTCTCTTTCCCCCCCCCCCCCCCCCCAATCCCTTCACTCACTCTCCCCACACCCCCTCCCTCAGGGAGACAGTGGTGGCCCCCTGGTCTGTGAGGACACTCTCTCCAATCGAACGAGGTGGCGTCTCTGTGGGATTGTCAGTTGGGGAACGGGCTGTGCGATGGCCAACAAGCCAGGAGTTTACAGTCGAGTCACCCGCTACCAGGAGTGGATTTACCAGGCCATGCAGGTAGGGGGCTCAGGGAGCCCAACTCCATCACCTGAGGGGCTGACAGTAAAGCTCCCTCTACACTGTCCCCCCCATCAAACGCTCCCAGGGACAGGGACAGCACGGGGTTAGATACAGAGTAAAGCTCCCTCTACACTGTCCCCCCAGCAAACACACCCAGGGACAGGGACAGCACGGGGTTAGATACAGAGTAAAGCTCCCTCTACGCTGTCCCCCCAGCAAACACTTTGAGTGTAATTGTTGAAATCCCCCTCTCAGGGGGAGAGGGGAGAGATGTGTCTGTATTAGACCTAACTTGTGCTCCTCCTGGTCACAATCTCTGACTTCTTTTTGTCTTAACTCTGCAGATCTACAAGAACAAGGGAGGGATCTACAGTTTGGATTGAAGGAGCGTTTTGAAATGCGGGATATCAGGGGTGGGAGCAGCACTTTCCCAGGGATATCTTGGTGCTACGGGAAGTTTCCAGCCTTCAGCAATATTTTTATATTTTGGGAAAATGAATGTACTTTTTAAAAATAAGCCCAAAAAACCCACTGACTGGAGCAATGTTTCAGGAGGGAGTACTTGCTGTTGAATGTTTTCACTCTGATCTTGAGCTGAGGTTAGAATTCTCCGTTGAAAGAGCCAAGTTAGGAATTTAATCAGACAATGGTCACTGCAGCTGCCTTATGAGATGGTGTTCAGATGGGTTTCACGTGTCTGGCCTCGCTGCTGAGGGGTTGAAATTTATTTCTGGGGATTTTCTGCTTTGGCACAGGGTAACTTCAGTGTAGCTCTCATGGATTTTAATGTTTTTAAACAGAACATTGTCTTCCCTTTTTTGTCTTTTTTCAGTTGTTCATCCTCCTTTCATTTATCTACCATGTGACTTCTCAGTTGGGATGGTCTTATATTACAGGGTGAGGGGGGGGGTTGGGCTGAACCAGATGGGTTTTGGGGTTTTGTTCACTTCCTCACCAACCTCCTACACAAATGACAAATACCCCCACCCACCCTCCAATGTCTCTGCACTGTTCTCCCTGCTCAGTCTGGGACCTTATTTTTTTGTTTCTGACTGTGTGTGTGTGTGTGTGTGTGTGTGTGTGTGTTTAAAAGCTCATTTGCTGTAGTCTGGGATCTGTGAATCAGATAGTTACTGGGTGAGTTTTTTTGAGCCTCATCTATGCTTTTTGTCCTCCCAACACTAATCCCACTCTCCCCCCTCACTCCGCGCTCCCTTTTAATATCCCACCCAGTCTAATCCCACTCTTCACCCCCACCTTCTCACTCCCCGCACCCTTTAATATCCCTCCCAATCTTCCTGTGCCTTTACCCCTCCCAGTCTATTTTCTACCCCCCCCGCCCCCCATCACTGGGACCCCCTTGGACCTGGGACTTGGCCTGTTGCTGTTCAGCGTCGATCCTGTCCCACTACAAGCTCCCACCCTGAAATCTCATCCCAGTGCCCCCTACCCTGAGGAATCTGTTTCTTCCCCTCCAGTGTGGCCACACAATGAGAGAAATCGGGCTAGCTGCGTTTTAAAAGCCCACGTTAAATCAAAAACGCTGCTTCTTAAATATTTATTCGTCGACTTAATGCTCAATGGAGATGTACCATCAATTGGTTGATTGTGGTAATTGTTCAAATGTTTTATATTTGCACAGGAATAAGGCAAAGATGGATAAATTTCCTTCCTCTGTGTATTGTCTGAGAATTGCTTGTTCATTGTATTTGTATATTGACTGTGTATTTAAAATTGACAAGCTTTGTTGTAATTTTGTTGTGATTTTTAAAACACTCTCTCTCTGATTTGAACATTCTGTCTCTAGTTTGCAGTCTCTGTTTAAAAAATGCCTCCTGCTGTTGTCCTATTCATATTTTTTTTTTAGGGATGTTCTGATGTTTTACCCTTCACTGCCCAAAGAGAGTCCAGGCAAAGTGGGTATATATAATGCCCCCTCTCCAACTCTGCCACCGCACCCCGGCCCCCCCCCCCAGCCTCTCTGTAACAACCCCTTCCAGATCAGATCTAAGCTATACATTCCTGCCACATCCAATTGTGGATGGTGGTGGACAATTAAACAGCTCACTGGAAGAGGAGGCTCCACTAATATCCCCATCCTCAATGATAGAAGAGCCCAGCACATCAGTGCAAAAGATAAGGCTGAAGCTTTCGTAGCAATCTTCAGCCAGAAGTGCCGAGTGGATGATCCATCTCAGCCTCCTCCAGTGGTCCCCAGCATCACAGATACCAGTCTTTAGCCAATTCCATTCACTCCACGTGATATCGAGAAACGGTTGGAGACACTGGATACTGCAAAGGCTAAGGGCCCTGACAACATTCCGGCAATAGTACTGAAGACTTGTTCTCCAGAACTTGCCGCTCCCCGAGCCAAGCTGTTCCAGTACAGTTACAGCGCTGGTATCTACCCGACAATGTGGGAAATTGCCCAGGTATGTCCTGTACATAAAAAACAGGACAAATCCAACCCGGCCAATTCCCGCCCCATCAGTCTCCTCTCCATCATCAGGAAAGTGATGGAAGGTGTCAGTAACAGCGCTATCAAGCAGCATCTGCTCAGAAATAACCTGCTCACTGATGCCCAGTTTGGGTTCCGCCAGGGCCACTCAGCTCCTGACCTCATTACAGCCTTGGTTCAAACATGGACAAAAGAACTGAATCCCAGAGGTGACTGTGACAGCCCCACTTGACCTCAAGACTGCATTTAACTACATGTAGCATCAAGGAGCCCTAGAAAAACAGGAATCAATGGGTATCAGGGGACAAACGCGCCGGTGGTTGGAGTCATACCTGACACATAGGAAGATGGTCGTGGTTGTTGGAGGTCAGTCATCTCAGCTCCAGGATATCTCTGCAGGAGTTCCTCAGGGTAGTGTCCTTGGCCCAACCATCTTCAGCTGCTTCATCATGACCTTCCCTCCATCATAAGGTCAGAAGTGGGGATGGTCGCTGATGATTACACAGTGTTCCGCACCATTCATGACTCCTCTGATACTGAAGCAGTCCATGTTCTAATGCAACAAGATCTGGACAATATCTAGGCTTGGGCTGACAAGTGGCAAGTGACATTCATGCCACACAAATGCCAGGCAATGACCATCACCAATAAGAGACAATCTAACTACCACCCCTTTACATTCAATGGTGTTCCCATCACTGAATCCCCCACTATCAACATCCTGGGGGTTATCATTGACCAGAAACACATCTGGGCCCACCACATAAACACAGCGGTTACAAGAGCAGGTCAGAGGCTGGGAATCCTGCAGCGAGTAACTCCCCTCCCGACTCTTCCCCCCACCCCTCCTCCACCCAGTCCTATCCCACCATCGACAAGGCACAAGTCAGAAGTGGGATGGAATACTCCCCACTTGCCCTGGATGCGGGCAGCTCCAACAACACTCAAGAAGCTGCATACCACAAACATCCCACTCCCTCCCCCACCGACGCTCAGTCGCAGCAGTGTGTACCATCTACAAGATGCACTGCAGAGACTCACCAAGGCCCCTCAGGCAGCACCTTCCAAACCCACGGTCACTTCCATCTGGAAGGACAAGGGGCAGCAGATACATGGGAACACCACCCCCTGCAAGTTCCCCTCCGAGCTCCTCACCATCCTGACTTGGGAAATATATCAGGAACAAAAACAGAAAGTTGCTGGAAAAGCTCAGCAGGTCTGGCAGCATCTGTGAAGGAAAAAAACAGAGTTAATGTTTCGGGTCCCAGTGACTCTTCCTCAGAACTGATGGTAGCTGGGAAAACGTCAGTTTATATGCAGAAAATAGGGAGGTGGGTGGGGTAGGGAGTAACACGATAGGATAGAGCCCAAAGAGAGAGAAAGACAGTTGGACAGACAAAGGAGTTGCTAACGATCAGTCTGGGAGGGTGAGTAGTTGTTAATGGGGACTGTTAGTGACTAACAACAGCGGGTGTCTAGTGGCAGGCTATGTGGTAACAAGGCCTGGTGTGTGGGGTAGGGGGCTGGGACATGGGAGACTTTAGGCCCTAAAATTATTGTACTTCAATATTGAGTCCGGAGGGCTGTAGGGTCCCCAAGCGGAAAATGAGGTGTTGTTCCTCCAGCTTGCGCTGGGATTCACTGGAACACTGTAGCAAGCCGGAGACAGAGAAGTTGGCCAGGGAGCAAAGTGGTGCATTGAAGTGGCAGGCAACAGGTAGTTCAGGGTCTTTTTAGCGAGCAGAACGTAGATGTTCTGCGAAGTGGTCGCCAGGTCTACGCTTCGTTTCCCCAATGTAGAGGAGACCACATTGTGAGCAGCGAATGCAGTAGACTAGATTCTGGGAAGTGCAGGTGAAATGTTCCTTCAGCTGGAAGGTATGTTTGGGCCCGCGGATACTGGGGAGAGAGGAGGTAAAGGGGCAGGGGTTGCACCTTCGTCGGTTACAGGGGAAGGTGCCGTAGGGCTCTGGGGAGGTGTTCCTAACCTTCCACTCTCCGATGTTGAACGTTCTGTACTCAGCAAAGGCCTCAGCTTTATTCCTCTGCGTCCCTACCTTAACGAATTTCGGGCACGACATGACATCAAATTCTTCTTCCGCCGTCTTTGCCTCAGTGCATATTTCTTTGGACAAGAGTCCTCTCCCCGTCCCACAGACCCCTTTGCCCAACTCCAACACTCTCCCTCCACCTGGACCCCTCCTTCCGGCCTTTTACCTACACTCGATCTTTTCATTGAGAACTGTCAACGTGACATCAGTCGCCTCAATTTCACTGCCCCCTCAACAAATCCGACCTATCTCCCTCCGAACTGACTGTACTCCGCGCACTCAGATCTAACCCTGACTTTGTTATTAAACCTGCCGATAAGGGTGGTGTTGTTGTAGTCTGGCGTACTGACCTCTACCTTGCAGAGGCTGAGCATCAGCTCTCAGATACCTCCTCCTACCTTCCCCTGGGACCATGACCCCACCATGGCACATCAGGCCATTGTATTCACTACGGTTATGGATCTCATTTCATTCGGTGATCTCCCCCCTCCTCTGCTTCCAAGCTAATAGTCCCCCAACCCCGCACAGCTCGTTTCTACCTCCTGCCAAATATCCACAAACAGGGCTGTCCAGGTAGACCCATTGTTTCAGCCTGTTCGTGCCCCACAGAACTCATCTCTTCCTACCTTGACTCAGTCTTCACCCCCTGGCCCAATCCGTACCCACATACATCCGTGATTCCTCTGATGCCTTACGCTTGTTTCAAAACTTCCAGTTTACCGGGTCCAGCCACCTCCTCTTTACCATGGATGTGCAATCCCTTTTCACATCCATTCCCCACCAGGAGGGCCTGAGGGCTCTCCGCTTCATCCTGGAGTAAAGGCCTGAACTATCCCCACCCACCACCAATTTCCTCCGCTTGGCTGAGCTTGTCCTCGCCCTCAACAACTTCCCTTTCAACTCCTCTCATCTTCTTCAGGTAAGAGGGGTTGCCATGGGTACCTGCATGGGCCCTAGTTATGCCTGTCTCTTCGTGGGGTACGTGGAACATTCCTTGTTCCAGTCCTATTCTGGCCCCCACCCACAACTCTTTCTCCGATACATCGATGATATCATCAGTGCTGCTTCCCTCTCTCATCCGGAATTGGAAAACTTCATCAATTTCGCCTCCAATTTCCACCCTGCCCTCACTTTCACCTGGTCTATCTCTGACTCCTCCCTTCTCTTCCACGACATTTCTGTTTCCATTTCTGGGGATACACTGGACTCTAATATCCATTACAAACCCACTGACTCCCACAGCTACCTGGACTATACCTCCTCACACCCCACTTCCTGTAAAGACTCCATCCCATTCTCTCAGTTCCTCCATCTCCATCGCATATCTTCAGATGAAGCCAGCTTCAACAAGGGAGCATCTGAAATGTCCACCTTCTTCCTCAACCGAGGATTCCCCAGCTCCATTGTCACACAGGGCCCTCAACCAGGTCCGACCCATCTCCTGCACATCTGCCCTCACCCCTTCTCTTCCCTCCCGCAACAACGATAGGGTTCCCCTTATCCTCACCTACCATCCCACCAGCATCCAAATCCAGAAGATCATCAGACGCCATTTCTGCCACCTCCAGCAAGATTCCACCAGCAGACACATATCCCCTCCCCTCCCTTGTCCGCTTTCCGCAGGGACAGTTCCCTCTGGGACACCCTGGTCTATGCTTCCTTCACGCCCAACACCTCCCCACAACCCTGCGGCACCTTCCCCTGTAACCAGCGAAGGTGCAACCCCTGCCCCTTTACCTCCTCCCTCCCCAGTATCCAAGGGCCGAAACATACCTTCCAGGTGAAGCAACACTTCACCTGCACTTCCCAGAATCTAGTCTACTGCATTCGCTGCTCACAATGTGGTCTCCTCTACATTAGGGAAACGAAGCATAGACTTGGCGACCGCTTCGCAGAACATCTACGTTCTGCTCGCAAAAAAGACCCTGATCTACCTGTTGCCTGCCACTTCAATGCACCACCTTGCTCCCTGGCCAACATCTCTGTCTCTGGCTTGCTGCAGTGTTCCAGTGAAGCCCAACACAAGCTGGAGGAACAACACCTCATTTCTGCTTGGGGACCCTACAGCCCTCCGGACTCAATACTGAGTTCAATAATTTTAAGGCCTAAACTCTCCCATGTCCCAGCCCCCCACCCCACACACCAGGCCTTGTTACCACATAGCCTGCCACTACACACCCCCTGTTGTTAGTCACTAACAGTCCCCATTAACAACTACTCACCCTCCCAGGCTGATCGTTAGCAGAGATAGTAGGAACTGCAGATGCTGGAGAATCCGAGACAA